CATCGGCGATGCAGTGCGAGCTCGCAGGCGATGTACCGCCCCCACTTATCCGAGCTCCCCCCGAAGGCTGAAACTCGGATGTGTGCCCTCCAGGGGGCTGTTCGGCCGCGCCCCTCGTCGAGGACGGACGCTCAAATCGTGCATCCCCGACCCGGAAGTCGCGAGCTTCACCAATTCGAGTATCGAGCGATCTACGCTAATGGAGGATGACGATTGATAAATGACCGGGGGTCGTGTTCACGCGGCGGCGCCCGGGATGACGATTAGAAAAAACCGGCCGCGGGCTGGAAAACTATGCTTGAAATCGTTCTCCTCCAGTCAGAAAACTGTGCAGAAATCGCAGGAAAGTATTTTGAATCGTTCTCTCCCCCATTTTTCTATTAATCGTCACCCGCATTACTGGAGAGCCGCGATCCCAGACCCCCGACGTCATGATTTTTTCATGACGCGACCCCCAGAGGTCCAGACCCATTCCCCGGGATCGGTTTTTCATCCCGAGTCGTTTTTTGACGGTCCCGAGGCCCGGTGAGGGCCCCCAGAGGCCAAAAATAACGAAAAACCTCCCGTCGTGATTTTTTCATGACTCGAGGAGGTCTGGGATCGTTCAAGGCCGAACGATCCGCGCGGTGTCCGGGGCCAGCGCAGAAGTCGTCGCAGCGCGAAGCAGCCGCACGACCCTGCGACCCTCGTGGCTGCCCAAAGCCTGTCCCCGGCCCAAGGCCAGGCATCGCTCGGACGTGTGCATGTTTCCGTCGGCGAGGACCATCGAGGAGCATCCTTGACCATTTGGCGAAAAAAACCATGCACAAAACCAAAAAAAAAAAACGGGGAATGGACGTCCGAGCGACGGCGAGACCCTGTCCCTGGCCCAAGGTGTCCGCAGCTCCTCGCTGTCTTGCTGCACCCCCTGCGCCCTCGATGCTCGACGACCGGGGCTGGACCGAAACGGTGTTTTGGCGATTCCGTGGGCCGTTTTCGTTCCGATGTCGTCTTGCTGGGAAGGCGGATATGGAAGACGAGACGAGGGGGAACGAAGACACAGCGAAAGCGAAAAGCACCGTTTATGTTCAGCCCTGTCGACAACCTCGCTTTTTCAACCTCTGCGGACTGCGAGTTGCTGGTGGGTGTGGCAGGCCCCGCCGTGACTAGCAGTGAGCTCTCTCGGAACGAGAGGGGGCCCAGGCCGCTGCAGGCGCTTCCTGCTTCAAAACATCTGCGGCACAACTGCGGCAAGCGGATTGCTGCTGATCCCACCGACCCCCCTCCTACACAAACACAAAGACAAACACACACACACACACACACTAACACACACACACACACACACACTAACACACACACACACACACACACACACACGCACACACCACAAACACAAACACAAACACAAGCACAATGAACCACGAACACAAACACAAACTCGAACACAAGCACACATATAAGCACACATACAAGCACAACACACAAGCCATCACTCAAACACACACACACATACAAACACACACACACATACAAGCATTTTGTTGTTGGTCGCGGCCGCAGGCGAGAGCGCAAGCGGCGAGTCGTAAGTCCGGGGCGCGGGCCTACTACTTGACAACAGGAGCAACCCAGAGCCGCGAACCTAAACTGCCTGAGAGCATACCAGCACACACGAAGCAGCACAAATAATAAACAGCATGCCATTCCAGGGAGGCCGCGGAGGCCTCCTTGGGTGCCCTGGGGGCACCTCGGGCCAGGGCCAGGGGACAACTCTGGCAACAGGCAACACCCGAGGCTCGGTGGCGCGCCGAGGGGGGACGTGGGAGGGGGAGGGAGAAGAGGAGGAGGAGGAGGAGGAGGAGGAGGAGGAAGGAGGAGGAGGAGTAGGGAGAGAGGAGGAGGAGGAGGAGGAGGAGGAGGAGGAGAATAGGAGGAGGAGGAGGATGAGGAGGAATAGGAGGAGGAGGTAGGAGGAGGAGGAAGAGGAGGAGGAATAGGAGGAGGAGAAGGAGGAGGAGAAGGAGGAGGAGGAGGAGGAGAAGAAGGGGGAGTTTAGGAGGCCGCGCTGAGGGCAGGCCTCGTCAGCAGGCGGCGGGGCCTCTCGGAAGACCCCCGCGGCCCTCCGAGGAGCCCCCCGCGGCTGCAGCGGAGGCTCCCCGGAGCGCCGCGGGAGGCCGGAGGCCTTCCGAGCCCTCCGAGTCGGGGCTCCATGCAAACCCAGACCCCCTCGAGTCCTGAAAAAATCAGGACGGGAGGTTTTCCCTAATTTTCGGCCTCCCAGGGCCCTCACCGGGCCTCGGGGGCGTCAGAGAACGGCTCGGGATGCAAAGCCAGTCCCGGGGAATGGGCCTGGACCTCTGGGGATCGCGTCGTGAAAAAATCATGACGTCGGGGGTCTGGAGACGGGGGTCCGTGCAAACGGGGGTCCGCCCGAGCGCCAGGTCTTGCAGGATCCTGCAGGTCCAGGGGCGCACTGGCCCGGGCTCGGGTGCAAGATCCTGCAGGATCCGGCAGGATCTTGCAGGATCCCGACTGACCCGGATCTGGACTGATCCGGGTCAGTGCGTCCCCGACTGATCAGGCCCGCCCGCTGCTGCCTTGCCCCCTGCCCAGACCCCCGACGTCGTGATTTTTTCAGAGCGTCGACCCCCAGAGGTCTGGACTCCTTCCCCAGGAGCGGTTCTTCATCCGGAGTTGTTTTTTGACGGTCCCGAGGCCCGGTCCTGGCATCGCTCGGATCGTGTGCATTTTTCCTTCGGCGAGGACCATCGAGGAGCATCCTTGATCATTTGGCGAAAACCCACGCACGAAACCAAAAAAAACACAGGGAATGGACGTCCGAGCGATGGCCAGCGGTGAGGGCCCCTTGAGGCCGAAAGTAGCGAAAGAACACCCGTCGTGATTTTTTCACAGCGCGAGGGGTTCTGGGCGGGCGCGCCGCCGCCACCCCCGAGAGTCCCCAGATTGCTCCGGCCCCGTCCGGGAGGCCTCCGCGCACCGGAGGGCCTCCTCCTCCTCCTCCTCCCCCTCCTCCTCCTCCTCCTCCTCCTCCTCCTCCTCCTCCTCCTCCTTCTCCTCCTCATTCTCCTCCTCTTCCTAAACTCCTCCTCCTCCTCCTCCTCCTCCTCCTCCTCCTCCTCCTCCTCCTCCTCCTCCTCCTCCTCCTCCTCCTCCTCCTCCTCTCGCCTCCGCCTCAGGAGGAGCGTCGCGGCTGAGAAATCCACTAGCAGCGAGGCCCGCCGCCCGCCTCTTACGCGCCGCGTGCGGCGCCCCCCGCTCCCGCCATCGCTCAGGCCCCCAGAGACCAGAACACAGATAAACTTACGTCGGGCACGTCCCTCTGCAGGGGGAGGAGTCAAAAAGTGTCGAAGAATAGTCTGGGGACGGATTTCCTACCATTTCTGCTGAATTTTGAACATTCCCGGGGCATTTTAATTTTGCGCCCAAGATCCGCCTGTAGGGGGACACGCCCGACCGAAAGATAAACCAGGATACGGAAAACCAAGGGAACGACACCCTTTCATGCAAACTCGTATTTTCCAGCACACGTGCATGTTTTGTCTGCTGCGCTACAGCATGCGGGTTCGTGTCCGGGTTTTGCGGGGGGGTCTTGCAGGCTTTTGGGGCTTGTGTCCGGGTTTATTCTGGAACTGCTGCAGTGCAGTATTTTGTTCGTGCCGCCGTCTGGAAACATTGGTTTCGAGGGATGTTGAGTGTCCGGGTCCAGCGTGTCCAGGTTTACGGGGCTCTGAATCGCCATGAGGAGGACGATGCCGACCAGGAGGAGGAGGAGGAGGAGGAGGAGGAGGAGGAGGAGGAGGAGGGGGAGGAGGAGGAGGAGGAGGAGGAGGAGGAGGAAGAGGGACACCCTCTGGCCCCACAGGATGGAGGAGCCCAAGGCTCCCCTCACGTTCTGGAACCGAACCACGGGGTCTGGGCGCCCTTGGCGAGGACCGTTGGAAGCTGACCTTTGGGGGGATTCTTGCTACATGCCGGCGGTCTCCCGCATACCCTCGGCCGCGTGGGCCTCGCCTGTCCCTGGCATCTTTGCGCACCCTCCTAATGATGGATGTTCACTTTTCGGGGTGGAGCCTTCCCTGCCTTTCCCCCTTCTCTTCCAAATTTGGCCGACATGGGCTTGGTGCCTTCCCCTGTGGATGCGGGCTCCCGTCTCGCGACGCTGGCGGTTCATGCTCCTGGTTCCGAGCACCGTCTGGGGTGCGTCGTGGAGCCTATCAGCTCCAGTGAGGGGTAGGGACCCTCCTGCGATTCGACCTCCTGTGCTAATCCACTCTGGCCGTTGCTAGTGCCTGTTGTCGTTCCGACGTTTTCTACGCAGGCCACCACGACGTCTGTCGCTGACCTTCCGACTTCAGCCCCGTGCGCGCGCGTGCTGCTTGAGGGCCAAGGCTGTCTTCATGCGCCTGACGTCCTTGGGGAGAATGTGGATTCACAGGAGAGCGGCGTGTAGGGCACGCCACTGTTGTACTTAGATGGGCACATTGAGGATGATGCAGGAGGAGGAGGAGGAGGAGGAGGAGGAGGAGGAGGAGGAGGAGGACGAGGAGGACGAGGAGACGAGGCGGTGAGTGCTCTAACTGACTCCGCCAAGTTTGCGGACCCACCGACCCCGTTGAGCTGGCTGGCAGGGCCACGGGAGCGGTTATGAAAAGATTGGCCGTCATTCCGCGTTGAGCCAGTCTGCCGGACAGTCACCGTGGTCGTCACACCGCCGCGGCATCGCACGAACCAGGACGACGACGACGACGACGACGACGCCGACGACGACGACGACGACGACGACGACGAGGAGGAGGAGGAGGAGGAGGAGGAGGAGGAGGAGGGACGAGGATGGAGGGAGGAGTAGGAGGAGGAGGAGGAGGAGTAGAAGGAGACGGAGTAGAAGGAGGAGGAGGAGGAGGAGGTGTCCGCTTGTCAGCGTCTCACCGCAGCGCTCGACGGTGGGCGCTCCCAGACAGGGCACGTCGCCAGCGTCGCCGCCTCGGCGAACGGCCGGCGGAATGCGGGCGGCCGGCGGCGCCGGGGGAGCTCGCGCTCGTGGCCGCGGGCGCGGCCAAGCGCGCGTCGAGGGGGGCAGCCGCGCGGGCGACGCGAAGGCGCGCTGCCTGGCGACGGGGTGCTTCCGGGTGCTCGTGCCAAGCAAGGCGGCGTGGGCGTGGCCGAGGGGCTCCTGGCAGCGAGCTCTGCCCTCGGGAGCTCAGGAGTGCCCTCTGGAGGTCCTTCTTCGGCAGAACGGGGCGCTCCAGGCGGTGGGAGCGCGGCTGACTTTGGACACGGCCCCGCGGTCGAAGCAGGCGAAGGAGATCGAGCGCCTGGCCTTCTCCAAGGGCGGGACGGCGCGCAGCACGGGGCCGAAGCGGGCCGAGCGGTAGCTCGTTTGCGACGGTCTTGCACCATCTTGCATCACAGGACTTTCCCGCCCAGGCAGGAAGCATGTGCCCAGCGCTTAGGAAGAAGAGTGCCCTGATTTTGCGCCAGCCGTTTGCCCAGTGCTGAGGAAGAAGAGTGCGCGGCGGGAGCTCTGTAGGCCACCCGGCGCTGTTGCGACAGAGTTTTGTTCAGGAGGAAAAGAAGCACACAGACATTATTAATCCTCGATCCCCCAGAAAATATGGGAAAATATGCGAAGTGGGCGGGAGGACAGAAACCCAGAAACTATTGGAAAATATGGGGAATAGTTTTAGTTGTGTGTATTTATTTGTGTGTCCTGGGGCCCCTTCACTGTAGGCCAGCCAGTGCCGCTACGACAGAGAATTGTATGCTAAGACGGGCTCGAATGTTGTGGATCTATAGCCCAGCAGGCTGTCCTGCACACTCTTGACCCCGTTCTTCTTCCTCCCTGCCTCCCCCTCGTCCTCGCGAGGCTCGTGCGAGGTCCGCTCGAGCTCGGCTTCGGAGCAGAGTGCCAGCCTGCTTTGCAGTGTGGCCGAGGGCCCCCTGGGAGCCCGGAGGGGCCTCCGGGGCTCCCCTCACTGTGCCACCCCCGCAGAGGGGGGGGTGCTCGAGGGCGGGGCTCGGGAGGTCTCGTCGGCGTGGCGCCCGCGAGTGGCGTCGCCCGCTTGCCTGCGCCTCCTCTGGGTCGGGGGTGGACAGACCTCCTACCCTGACACGTCGATTAAGGAATTGGCCGTTTTCGGTTCGCGAGAGGGCGTCGCGGCCGTCATTTTTGCGGGTCCAGGTCCGTCGGTTTCGGTCCCAGGCCGTTTTCACTAAGGTGAGGTCTACGAAAGGGAGGTTTGTCCACCGCCGAATGGGGTCCCGATCTGGCAAGACGGTGGATCGCGCCGAAGCGACCGCTTCGCTGGACTTTTTTTCCCCCTGACGCCCACCACGTAGCTTCCGGCGACGCGAGGGAGCCCTGGCATCGCTCGGACGTGCGCACGTCTCCTTCGGCGAGGACCCTCGAGGACCAGCCTCGATCCTCTGGCGAAGACGCCCCGCACGAAGCCGAGCAAAAAACACGGGGGACGGACGTCCGAGCGATGGCCAGGAGCAGGAGGCCGGCGGGCGCCGGCGGGAGCGCGTACAGCGGCGGCGGGCCACCGGCGGAGGGAGGCCGGCGAAGAGCCGGCGGGAGCAGAGGCGAGGCGTCAACGCGTTCGGGCTCCCGGGCCTCTGGGCCCAGACAGGATCGCGCCCGAGGAGAAAGGTCTGGGCGGGGAGGTGTCTGGCCAGCCTCGGCCCCGCGGGGGGCCCTCGCAGGGCCTCGGGGCCGTCAGAGCACGACCCAGGACGAGAAGCCGGTGCCGGGGAAAGGGTCGGGACTTCCAGGGGCACCGTCCTGAAAAAGGGAGGACGTCAACGCCCCCCACCATCCCGCTGCCGCGCACTCCCCTGTGCTGGCCGGGGTCGTGGGGGCCCTCCCCTCCCCCCCTAATTCGGTGCAGGTGGCCTGTTCTGGGCACGGCGCCTCGGCGCTATGGGCGCAACTTCCTGCTGCGTCACGCTCGGTCAGCGCGCGCCGGACAAAAAAAATGAAGAAAGGAGGACGTCGCAGGTCTGGGGAGTGGGCCGTGCGCTCAGAGGTCCGCCGTGGTGCGTAGGCCCCACCACGCTTCTCTAGAGCTTCTCAGGCCAAGTGGCCGCCCGAGTGTAGTTGCAGCTCCTGGCGTTGGCACAGTGGCCTTCGACCAGGTTTAACTAAGTCGGGCCTGTCCCTCTCCAGGAGGAGAATTCAAAAATAGTATTTGTTAAGCATGTTCTTGATTTTTGTTTCGGATTTTTTGACTTTTTAAAAGTTGTCACACAAAATCCGCCTGTAGGGGGACATGCCCGACCTGAGATCAGGGTGGCACTCGCTCCGAGCGGCGTGCAGGAAGAGCTACTCGGAGCCTCCTCGCCGAGCTCTGCATGAACCAGAGGCCAGAGGCTGCTCATTGGGGAACACTATGTTCGACACGCCGCCGGAGAAGCGGATCACTTGCTACAACGTGGGCAAACGGCCGTGCGACCCGCCTTCCCCAGACAGCTTTGGACAAATCGGTCGAGCTCTGATATCAAAGGGCTGGACCCAGCACCTCACAGACGTGCACTGTGATCGTGACCGGGCGCTGGCGTTTCACCATTTCTCGGTGTGTGCCGGCTTCGACCTCGAAGTGCCGTTCGACAAGAAAATTCACACTCCGCAGCCAGATGTCCGAGCACTCAATTTGCTTGATGCGGGCGAGTGGGACCAGGTCTACAACCCAGCAGAGGCTTCGCACCTGCGCGGCATGGGTGCCTGCGTGGGATGGATGGTGAAGTGGTGCAGTCTGATGTGCGAGCCGACACGACGGCCGATTACCTTTGCGATGTTCAGGAGGCTCCACGTGCAACGACGCCGATTGCATCTGCATCGACTGGCCACGAGCTGGAGGTCTGGACGGGTGACATCAAAGAGGAGGAGGAGGAGGAGGAGGAGGAGGAGGAGGAGGTCATCGATGCAGCGCGGGGCATGCGATGGAGCAAGGCTTGTGGCCATGACGGCGTCCCTGGGGAGCTGTGGAAGTATCTGCATGCACGCCGTGCCAGGGGGGGAACGGGCGCTAGCGTTATGTCAGAACTGCTGGAGAGACGTTTGCGTCCTGGACGCGTGGCACGACGCTCTCGCAACGGCAAGATTCAAAAAGGGGGCGGGTCTCAATGTTCTACCGACCTATCTGACTCTTGCAGGCCAGAGAGAAAATGCACGCCATGATCCTCTTGCGCCTTGTGAAGGGCGCCGGCGCGGAGGCCAGGATCTGGCAGACGCACGTCGGCTTCAAGTCCAGACGCTGGGCGGCAGACGCCATATGTATTCCCAGCGCGGCGCCTCTGGGAGGAGTCTTGCGCGCACTTGCGTGTCGCAGGGGCCCCCGCTGGTGCTGCTCGCGCTGGATTGGGCCAGCGCGCTCGACAGCGTGACGCCAGATGCTCTCCTCGAGGCGCTGCGCTGCGCCGCGCCCGTTCGGCCTGCCGCGGGGGGTGCTGAGCGCCGTGCGCGCCATCGGTTCTGCGTGGCGCTGCGCGGCGGAGGAATGCAGGCAAACTTCGGCGTCGCGAGAGCCAGACCCCCTCGAGTAATGAAAAAATCATGACGGGATATTTTTCCTAATTTTCGGCCTCCGGGGGCCCTCACCGGGCCTCGGGAGCGTCAAAAAACGACTCGGGATGAAAAACCGGTCATGGGGAAAGGGTCTGGACCTCTGGGGGTCGCGTCATGAAAAAGTCATGACGTCGGGGGTCTGGGGAGCAAGGGGCGGGTATTTGCCATGGATGCCCGTTATCGTTTGTTCTCTCCGGGGTGGTCTTGACGGTGCTCCTGCACGACGCAAGGGGCAGCAAAGAGCAGCCTCGGCGATCTGGCAGGGCTGGTGGACGAGTTGGTGCACGCGGGCGACACGCCCGTCGTCGCCAGCGCGCCCGGACACGCTGAGCAGTACATGCGGGCAGCGGAAAGGGCGGGCGCGAACTACGGCATCATCTTCAAATTGGGGGGTCGAAATCTTAGCCGTGGGATGCAAATCTATCGCAGGCCGGACGGGGCTGCCATCCTTCAGAAGGCAAGCGTCGTTTGTTTGGGTTCCGTGCTCTCCGCAGACGGGACGTTGCAGGCTGGACTGGGCCGGCGCTGCAGGCATGCGCGGGCAGAGTTCGATGTTCTACACCTTGCCTGGAAGCGCAGCAGCATCTCCATGCATAATAAGAATACACATATAAGAAGCGTGCGTACAGACGATGTACAGCTTGCACACGGCATGGTTTGAGCAGGACGAGATGGCTCGCATCGGCGCCTTCAAAGCAAGGTACTTGCGGAATGTCCGCGTGATCCATGCTCACGTCAGCCGAGTGTCGAATGCGGATGTGCTGGCACGCGCGCGCAGAGTGAAATTTGGCACGGCAACCCACATAGTTGTTCAACGTTGGTTGTAAGGATGATGGCCGCCCCTGTGGTCAGTTATCTTTGAACCGTCCTCCCTCGACCCCCCCGCGGGCGTAGCTTGCCGAGTTGTACACAGTTGCAAGAGCTAGATGTGCCAGTGCTCAAGTTTCAAATGACAAGTACTGCGCTCGAGACTGGAAGCAAGCAGTGCGCTCATTTTGCTTGGCGCTGGAAGTGCGCCATATTGCTCATGTGCCTTGTGACGCGCGGCTTTGGCTGACTGACTCTTTGTCTTCCTGTCTGATCGGCACGATCGAAACATGGCATTGAAAGAGTGGGTACGGAGGCCCGGGCATCTCCTTTCTCATTCTGGGCAGGACGCGGTGTCGGCGTCGCCGCGGGCCTTGACACTTTGTACCTGCTGTTGAGCATCGTGCCCATTCTCTCCGCGCGCCCAAGGTTGAGGCCCCCCGCGTGCCCTGCCCCCCTCCCCCTCGCCCCCCGTCGCCCCCCCCCCCCCCCCCCCCGAGGCTCCTCCTCCTCCGCTCACAGCAGGGGCGACCGTCGCGGAGGCTCCGCGCCCAAAGTTGAGCCCCCCGCGTTCCCTGCCCCCTCTCCCCCTCGCGTCCCGCCGCCCCCCCCCCCCCCGAGGCTCCTCCGCAGCAGCAGCAGCAGCAGGCGACCGTCGCGGAGGCTCCGCCGCCAAAGAGCAACCTCGTGCCGCTCGACCACCTGAAGGTCGTCGCCTGGAGATGAGTTGAAGAAGGGGACGAGGACGGGGAGGAGCAGCAACAGCAGGAATGAAATGGGCACTTCAAGGCAACAGAGACAGCACAGGCCCGCATGGGATCGCAAAGGGGTGAGACCTGGACCAGCAGGGAGGGGCGGTACCGGCAGCAGCAGCAGGAAGAGGGGGAGGACGAGATGGGGGAGTGGGAGAAGGGGGAGGGGGAAAGGAGGATGAAAAGGAGGAGAGGGAGAAAGAGGAGGAGGAGCGAGGATCGGCTCTTCCGCAGATGAGGGCTGCGCACGGGATGCAGGACGACAGTGCAGCACTGTAAGCTTCCCCAGGGAGCCTTCTCGCATTTGTTTCCACGATCAGGTCAGGCAACAGTGCTACGCCACCCTTCCATTCCTCCCTCCCTCCGCCCTCATCCACCCTCTCTTTTTCCTCCTCCTCCTCCTCCTCCTCCTCCTCCGCCTCCGCCTCCGCCTCCGCCTCCGCCTCCTCCCCCTCCTCCTCCTGCTCCTACCTCCTCCTCCTCCTCCTCCTCCTCCTCCTCCTCCTCCTCATCATCCTCATCATCATCAGAAGGAGCGTGTTCTACCGCTGCTGGCTGGAAACCCTTCGAACCCCCTCCCCCCCTCCCCCAGTCCGATCTGAAAGGGGGGGGGGTTCACTACCGTTCGAACCCCCCCCCCCCTTCGAAAACCCGGGGGGGTCACTACCAGTTCGAACACCCCCCACCCGCACCCCTCGAACGGGGGGGGGGGGCAAGGAAGAACAGTGGTGGGGACGGTTTGTGGTGGGGACCAGTGTGACGGGACAGCGGGACAGTGGTGGGGACAGGCAGTGGTGGGGACGGTGGTGGTGGGGACAGTGGTGAAGACATGGTGGGAACAGTGGGGACTACTCAAAATACAGTGGGACAGTGTTGGGGACGGTGGTGGTGGGGGCAGTGGTGTGGGGACAGTGGGAATGTGGTGGAAACAATAGGACAGTGGAGGGTACAGTGGTGGTGGGGACAGTGGTGAAGGCGGTGGCGAGGACGGCGGTGGTACAATGGGACAGAGGTACAGTGGGGACAGTGGTGGGGACAGTGGGGACAGTGGTGGGAACAGTGGGACAGCTCAGTGGGACAGCGGAGGAGTCAGTGGGACAGTGGGGACAGTGGGGATAGTCGTGGAGAAAGTTGGGAGAGTGGAGCCGTGGTGGGAACAGTGGTGTCAGTGCGACAGTGGTGGTGGCACTCGTGGGGACAGTAGGGGGCGGTGGAGGAATCAGTGGGGACAGTGGTGGTGAGGACAGTGGTGCTGGGAACAACAGTGGGGGATGTGGTGCGGACGGTGGTAGGGACCGGGAGTCGTTTGCTGGCGGTGAGGGGGGCGGGGGAGGGGTTCGAACCGGTAGTGACCCCCCTCCGGTTTTCGAGGGGGGTGGGTTCGAACCTGTAGTGACCCCCCCCCCAGATTTTCGAGGGGTAGGGGGGGGGGGAGGGGGAGGTGGAAGTGTTTTGCCGGGGGAGGGGGGGGGGTCCAGCAGGCAGGGCGGGGATTTTCGGAGGGGGGGGGGGCCGGGTTTCGGAGGAAGAGGGGGGGATTTTTCCACAGTAAAGTGGCGGTGGATCACGCTCTCTCCATCATCATCATCATCATCATCATCATCATCATCATCATCATCATCATCATCATCATCATCATCATCATCATCATCATCATCATCATCCATCATCATCATCATCATCATCTCATCCTCATCCTCATCCTCATCCTCATCCTCATCCTCATCCTCATCATCCTCATCATCCTCATCCTCATCATCATCATCATCATCATCATCATCATCATCATCATCATCATCATCATCATCATCATCATCATCATCATCATCATCATCCTTTTTCCAATGTTCTTTCTCCCCCTCCCTCCTCCCATCTCCTCCCTCTTCTCGTTGTCGCCGTTCGCCGTCTTCTTCGCCTTCCCCACCCTCGCGGTGCTCGCCAGGCCCCTCCCCGTGCTCTCCGTCGCCGTTCGCCGCCGTCGTCGTCTTCCTCCTCATCGTGGTGCTCGTCAGGCCCCATCGTGCTCCTCGCCGCGCTCGTCAGCGTCGTGCTCGTCACCGTGCTCGTTGTCGCCGTCGCCGCAGCTGTCGTCGCCGGCGCGGCCGCCGCCCAGCCCAGGCGATCACCAGCGGCCGGGAGTTCTGCTACGACGACTTCGACCTGCGCGCCACGGTAGGCACCGGCACGTTCGGCCGCGTCCGCGTGGTGAAGATCAAAGGGACCGCCGCCCCGCCTGCGCCGTCGCCCGTCGTCGTCGTCGTCGTCGTCGTCGTCGTCGTCGTTGCCCGAAGCCCGCCGTCGTCTTCGTCGTCGGCGACGTCGTCGTCAGCTCCGTCGCCCGTCGCCGCTTGCGTCGCCGTCCTCGTCGTTTCATCGCCGTGGACGTCAGCGCCGTCATCAGCGTCGTCAACGTCGTCGTCTTCACCGCCGTCGCCGTCGTCGTCAGCGACGTCGCCAGCGTTGTCGTCGCAATGGCCGTGGGCGTCGTGGCCCTCCGCCACAACGAGGAGAAGGAGGAGGAGGAGGAGGAGGAGGAGGAGCAGGAGGAGGAGGAGAAGAAGGAGGAGGAGGAGGAGGGAGGAGGGAAGAGGAGGGAAAAAGAGGGAGGAGGGAGAGATAAGGAGGGAGGAGGAGGGAGGAGGGAGAGTGGCAGGATGGGGACGAGAAGAGGGAGGAGAAGGAGGAGGAGGAGGAAGAGGAGGAGCAGAGGAAGGAGGAGCAGGAGGAGGAGGAGGAGCAGGGGAGGAGGCGAGACAAGGAGGAGGAGAGGAGGAGGAGGAGGAGGAGGACGAGGAGAGGAGAAGGAGGAGAAGGAGGGTGGACGAGGACGAGGAGGAGTGGGGGAGGCAGGAGGAAGAAAAAGAAAGAAGGAAGAGGAGGAGGAGGAGGAGGAGGAGGAAGGAAGGAGCAGGGGAGGCGGAGAAGACAAAAGGAGGAGGAGGAGGAGGAGGGAGGAGGAGGACCAGAGTAGGAGGAGCCAAGGAGGAGAAGGAGAAGGAGGAGGCGAAGGAGAAGGAGGAGGAGGAGGAGGAGGAGGAGGGACCCTACTCATGGCCGACCCTCCCGCCAGCCAGCCACCCGGCCCAGGAGCAAGGACAGGACCCCCTTGGCCCTGAAGATAATGAAGAAGAGCGAGGCCAGGCCCGCGCGCCTCGAGCCTCGAGCCCGCGCCATGGAGAAGGTGGGCAAGGGGAAGAGGAGAGAGGAGAGAGGAGGGGGAGCAGGAGGGGGAGAAGGAGGAGGAGGAGGACGGGGGGGGAGGACAAGTACCAGAGCTGCGGAGGAGGAGGAGGAGGAGAGAGGAGGAGGACGGATACAGGAGAAGGAGGGAGGGAAGAGGAGGAGGAGGAGGAAGAGGGAGGAGGAGGAGGAGGGAGGATGAGGGAGGAGGAGGAGGAGGAGGGGAGGAGGGGAGGAGAGGAGGAAGAAAAAGCAGCAGCAGGAGTTGGAGGAGTGGGAGGAGCAGGAGGAGCAGGCGAAGGCGGCGGAGGAGGAGGGGAAAGGAGGGGGGCGCGACGACGACGAGGAGGGCGCCGAGACCCAGACGTGCGGCCCCTCGCCCGGGCGAGAGCACCACTCCTTCCGGACGACGGGAGCACACACGCCGATCTTGACACGAGGCCAGCGCTGCAGCGGTGGCGAATCGTCCCGACCGAACACCACCCGAGGACCCGCAGCGGTGTCTGCAGCCCGAGGCGTCCAGGGCCGTGCGCGGGAGCGGCGGCGCCCTGAAGCCTGCGGCGGACTCCGCCACCGCGCCAGCGCAGCAGCGCCACAGGACGGAGCTGGAGGAGGAGGAGGAGGAGGAGGAGGAGGAGGAAGAAGAGGAGGAGGAAGAGTGGGAGGACCAGGATGAGTAGGATTAGGAGGAGGAGGAGGAGGAGGAGGAGGAGGAGGAGGAGGAGGAGGAGGAGGAGGAGGAGTGAGAGAACCCGTCCAGATCGGTGCCGTATTTGGCCAGCACTGGTCTCGAACATCCCCTCCTTGTCCGCAGCCTCGTTTGCCCCCGCGCACTCCGTCGTGGAAGCTTCTTGCAGGCTTCTTCGGAGGTTCTTGGGGGAGGCGCGTTGGGAGCCCGTCGGGGGCGACAGAGCTGCGTAGTTTCACCGAGCTCTCCCGAAGCGGCGTCGTTCAAAAATTGTGCTCACGTCTAGGAGGATCTTGAGGCCATCGTGGAGCTCTCTTTGATCTTCGAGCTTCTGGAGGGATCATCCGGCCGTCTTGAGGCTCTCGTGCAATCTTGGGCCGTCTGAGAGCTGGAAATGTAAGCCCAGGGGCGGGGGGGGCGACTTTCGAAGTTTGTTTCTGGGGCGCCAGGGGCGGTTATTGGCAGGGGGGTGGATATCATGCCTGCGGCCATGATATCCCCCCATTTTTGGAAGCCTTGAGTGGGGGGTCGATTCAAACGGGGGTCAGCCAGAGCGCCGGATCTCGCAGGATCCTGCAGGGCCAGAGTGTATTTAACCCGGGCTTGCGCGCAGGATCCTGCAGGAACCTGCAAGTGCCCAGGGCTGCATGTGATCCGGGTCAGTCGATCTGAGGCCGCTTTTCGCCAAGGAGTGCGCGGGAAGGCTGCGTTCGCCGCGTCGCCGAGGGCGGGGTCCTCCTTCTCCTCCTTCTCCTCCTCCTCCTCCTCCTCCCTCCTCCCTCCTCCTCCTCCTCCTCCCCTCCTCCTCACTCCTCCCCCTCCTCTCCTCCCCCTCCTCCGTCCCCCTCCTTCCCCCCCTCCTCCCCCCCTACCTCCTCCTCCTCCTCCTCCTCCTCCACCATCCTCCTCCTCCTCTTCCTCCTCCTCCTCTCCTCCTCCTCCTCCTCCTCCTCCTCCTCCTCCTCCTCCTCCTCCTCCTCCTCCCCTCAGAGTCCCACCGAGCAGCCGCCAATTACTCCTGGCACTCCCCGACAGCGCAGGCGGCGTGGCGGATAGCGGGCCTATATCCCTGCCAGCACCCAAAATCGTTAGGCCACGGAGCCCATGGTCCCGTCTGGGACTGGGCAGGGCAAGACACGTCTGGGCAAGACAAGGCATGCGTCCACGATGGCGCTCGGGGTTGGCATGCTGGCCCAGCGTTGCTTCCAGCATGGCTCCCAGATTACCCAAGAAGGCCTCGAGATGGCACTGAGGTGGCCCCTGAGCCTCCCAGGGACATCCCTGAGAGGCCAGAAATCCTCGATGGTGTCAGATGACTTGCGGCTTGTTCGTTGTCTGATCGGATATATGCGTAGCGTCTTGTAGACCGTCATGCGATAAGTGATCGTATGATCATGTGTGTTTGGGTACCATGTACACAAGCATCGCTCGATCGCACGCCATGCGATACACGGCATGTGAACCATGTGCATATACAAGCATAGATAATCTTTCATTCACACGCATATCTATCCATTCATATATCAGGATTCCAAGTCGGCATGTGGTCATACAACATGGTGCACTGCAAACCGTTGATACATTATATGCCCACAGTTAAAAACGTGAAAATAGGAAGCGCCTGCAGCCAAAGGCCCACTGCTTACAGAAGCAGTAGCGGGTCAGCATTAGTGGCGAGGAGTGCACAGGTCATCAAAAAATGGTTGCCCGTACGGATGGTCGGCCTTCTGCAATTGGGGCGATGCCCTACAGTATCGCAAAGACGTTGTGATGGTAAAAGCGGGGTATGGAGGTTTCTATTCTACAACGTTTGACGTTCACTTCTTTCGATCGTGCGGCGTGTCCGTCCGCCGCCACTTGTTGCGGCCTTGAGCTTTTGGAGGTGGGCGCTTGGAGCTACACAACAAATCCCAACCCTCAAATCCGAGGCTGGGTTCAACGAGAAGTTTCACACATGCCCGCCCCAGCATGGCCCTGCGACGGCCCCAGGTGATCCAAGAGGCCCCACCCGTGGAAGTAAGGAGCAGTTCGGGTTGGGAAGGTACTCACTCTCGGATGTTTCCACGGTCATTCCTCGAGCGCCCGCATGCGCCCAAGCATTTTGGTGCGAAGGACGGGCATGGTTTTGATTTCGCGCTGCTGGTAATTTTTATGGTAGCTGAGAGACCTTATGACCTGTACCGCACGGGACGCTTGAAATTTCTATTCATATATCGGAGGTTGGGGGGTGAGATCGAAGTGGAACGGAGAGCCCCCCTACCGGGAAATCGATTTCGGTTTCGTGTTCGTGCGTGCCGTGCGGGCGAGGCGAAGCTGCGTGGGCGGGCGAGAGAAAGTCTCCTGTGGCTGAGGCGCGGCCGGAGCAAAAGAACCTTGACCGGGCGGCCGGTGCCCCGCGGTGTCCCGCCGGTGTCCCGCTGGTGTCCCGTGTGGCTGAGGCGCGGCCGGGGCAAAAGAACCTTGACCGGGCGGCCGGTGCCGCGCGGTGTCCCGCCGGTGTCCCGCTGGTGTCCCTTCGGTGTCCCGTCGGTGTCCCGATGATGACGTGGATGATTATGATGATGATGGTGATGATGATGATGGTAATGATAATGATGATGTTGATGAAGGCGATGATGATGATGATGTTGGTGTCGTTGATGATGATGATGATGATGATGATGATGATGATGACGACGTCGATTGTGATATCGATACTAATATTGATAGTGAGACCGAATGTGAGATCGATTGTGCGATGCTGATGGTGATGATGGCCATGATGGTGATGATGATTGTGATGATGATGACGACGTTGATGATGATGATGATGATGATGATGATGCTGATGCTGATGATGATGATGATGACGATGATGATGATGTTAATGGTGATGTCGATGATGATGACGACGTCGATAGTGATATCGATTGTGAGATCGGTAGTGAGACCGAATGAGACAGCGAATGAGGTCTTCTCTCAGGTTCTCCTCCACCACGCACCCCTCGGTTCTGGACCTCTCCTTTTCCCTCCTCCTCCTCCCCATATCAGCTTCCTCATCCTTCGAGGGTCTTGGGGGCCATGATCAGCCATGACCATCGGCGTCGTGGTCGTCGTCGCTGGCTCTGCCAGCGCTTCAGTCTTCTGTGGCCAAATGGCGCCGTTAGCTGCCGTTGCGCAGGTTGGGCAGGTTCCCAGGGGAAGGGTGACGTAAACAACTCGACACCAACGCCCCCAAGAGCGAGCGGCAACGCAACTATCTCCACTGGCATTGTCACAACAACATTCACCACTGTTGCCCATTGCTGGGCCCCCCCAAACCTCCTTATCACCCGCAGGGTGGTCGTATAGGTGTATATATATGTATACAACTGCAGAGATATCGATCGATCAGTTTGTGCATACATCTGTACTTATGCGTATATCTATATATATATATATATGTGTATATATATCGTTTTGTACAAACATATATAAATCGATAGATGGTGGCCTTCGGCCCATCCCGCAACTGCGCCTGGGTTGTAGATAAACAGCCCCAATGAATGCGTGTGGGGATCTCTTGTGAGGCCTTCCGAAAGCCTCTTGGAGGCAGTTCTGGGTGTGCTTGGGGACCTTTCTCGGGCCGCTTGGGGGCTTCTTGGGGGGCTGTTGGGGTCTGATTTGGGCGTCTTGTGGGCCTCCTGAGGCTTGTGGGCTTGCCGGCGGTCTCGGGGTTCATCTTGGGTCGGATGGCGCGAAATGTCATTTCGAGTTCTCCCTCTTGAGGCCCTCTCGGGGCCGTCTTCGGGGCCTCTTGGGCTGTCTTGGGGTCTTTTTGGATTGCCTGGGGGGGTCCTCTTTGGGCCTCTTGGGCCGTCTTGGAACGTCTGAAGCTCGACCAGGCGAGAACGCTGAAAATTGTCAAAGGCCGATGCAAGAACAATGGTAGTGGCATCTCAAAGCCCTCTGGGGGGGGGCCTCTTGGAGCCCTTTGGGGACGTCATGCGGGCGTCGTGGGCCGTGTGGAGACCACCGTGGGCGTCTTGGAGCGATCTTCGGGCGACCAGGGCCCTCTTTGACCGTCTTGGGAGGCTCTTGTCGCTCCGCTGGTCCGCTTGGCAGCCCCTGAAGCTCGCCCGGAGCGCGCCGACACACCCCAGGAAAGCCCAGGAGAACTTAGCAGAGGGGTGCGGGGCCCGTTGGAATCCTGCAAACCAAGAGCTCTCGTACGGCGCACATCTGCGGGAGCCTTGGGGCCCTTCTCTAAGTCGCTTGGGGCACCGTGGCGGATTCACATGGAGGCGCTGTATGAGGGCGGAGGACCGCGACGACGAGGGAGACGAGAAAGAAGAGGAGGCGGAGGACAAGGAAGAGGAGAAAGAGGAGCAGGAGGAGGAGGAGGAGGAGGAGGAGGAGGAGGAGGACGACGACGGGGAGAATGAGAACGAGGACGAAGACGAGGGAGAGAATGGAGCGGGCTCGGCCGTGCAGGCGTCAGAACCCCCCCAGGGCGGCGGGGCCGAGGACGGGCTGCGCCGGCAGCAGGGCCCGGCCGAGCGTGGAGCAGCACTCCTCCCTCCTCCTCCTCCTCCTCCTCCTCCTCCTCCTCCTCCTCCTCCCCTCCTCCCTCCTCCTCCTCCTCTCTTTCTCCTGCTCCTCTTTCCTCCTCCTCCTCCTCCTCCTCCTCCTCCTCCTCTCCTCCTCCTCCTCCTCCCGCCTCCTCTTCCTCCCTCTCCTCCTCTTCCTCCCTCTCCCTTCCTCCTCCCTCTCCTCCTTCCTTCTCCTCCCTCCCATCTCCTCCATCCTATCCTCCCCTCCTCCCTCCTCCTCCTTCCTCCCTCCTCCTCCTCCTCCTCCTCCTCCTCCTCCTCCTCCTCCTCCTCCTCCTGCTCCTGGGAGGGACGGGGGTCCAACCCAATGGCTGAGACGGCGCATGCCTGGAGAAGCGCCCACAACGGTTGTGAAGTCGGCCCCAAGACTACGTTCGCTAAGGCGAAAAGCAACCGTCAATTTAGTTCCAGCATTTTGTTCGTCAAGACGAGAGGAGCTGCCAACTCGGCCCCGACACTTTTGTTCGTTAAGACTGAGGTCGTTTTTAACCGCCAGCTCGGTCCCGACGCTTTGTTCGTCAAGACGGAGGGTGCGGCGAGGGGGGCCGTCAAGGGGGTTCATCAGTTCGGAGGGAGACCGTCACGGGCGTTCGTCACCCCAGAGGGAGGCCGTCAAGGGGCTTCGTCAACTCGGAAGGAGGCCGCCAAGGGGGTTCGTCAATTCGAAGTTGATGGCAAAATCCGTTTACTGAGATGGAGTTGACGGCCAAATCTTTTCACTAAGATGGAGTTGACGGTTCAAGCGTTGGATAGAGTATACATGGTCATCCGTCGTGGCGTCCAGGCCCACCTCCAGACCTGCCGCCCGCGACAGATCCAAGGAGGGACGGGAGTCCATGACCATTCTTTCCTGCGCACGCGTCGTCATCGTCTCTTTTGCCTCTCTGTGCTCGTCCGCCTCTTCCACGTCCGACGCCCTGCAGGTCATCCGCCTCAAGCAGGTGGAGCACGTCAAGGCGTCGGTTTCAAGTGGCTTGGGCCTTGTTCAGCTTTCTCCAAAGGAGTGTCTGTGGAGGGGGAGGGAAGCGGAGGAGGGAGGAGAAGGCGAATAAGAAGGGAGGAGGAGTAGGAGGAGGAGGAGGAGGAGGAGGAGGAGGGAGAAGGAACATGTGGAACATACAGAGAGGGAGGCGGGGAGGAAGCAGGAAGGAGGTGAAAGTTGGAGGGGAAGGTTGAGGAGGCGCAGGTAGAGGACGCGGTGGAAGTGGAAGCGTAGGAGGAAGAGGGGTACCCAATCGGCAGGACTGGCAACGGACGATGGAGTGAGATGGCATGAGAAGGTATGGGAGAAGGCTTAGCGAGCGGAAGAGTGGGGTGTGGGGGACGAGGAGAGGGAGAGAAATTGGGGGAGTGGGCGGATGAAGGGCATAGGAACTGGAATCCGAGAGGAGAAGGGGAGAGGGTCGGGCGAGGGGGGTCCTTTTGCTCTACATGTTTTCAGGCCCTGGGGTGGGGGGGGGGGGGGCCGGAGGGGAACGACCCCCCCCAGCAGGACACCCCGAACCCCCGGCCCCGGGGGCCTCCTGGACGCCCTTGCAGATTGCAGAGGGCGCCCCTGGACTTCCGGGCTTCCTGGACGTCCTCGCCGGGCCCGGCCAGCGAGCCCAAGGCGGTCAGGAGGGCGCCCAGCGCGAGCCCCCGAGCGGCCCCAGACGCCCCCCAGACGCCCGAAGACGGCCCAAAGAGCAGCCCCTCAACAGGCTTTCCCCCCCCCCGGCTCCGTGAGGTCGCGGTGCTCTCCCGCTTGAGGCCTCATCGTTGACGAAAAGTTCTACGAGATGTAAAACCGTCAACGCGTGTGAAGATGACTAAAACCCGCCAACGGTTCCTTCAAGTCTTTTGATAGTAATATTGCATCTATGGACCTGAGAATTTAACACGAAGCGCCGCCAGAAACGCTGACGCGTCTTTCCTTCCACTCTCTTGTCCTCGCCCCGCTGTGTCGGCGCAAGGCCGAGACGGGGATTCTGGCCCAGATCTCGCACCCGTTCATCGTCAACCTCCTGGCGGCGTTTCAGGACGAGAGGCGGTGTTGCCCCAGAGCGGCGGCGGCTGCCGTCGTCATCGTCGTCGGCAGGGGGAGGAGGAGGAGGAGGAGGAGGAGGAGGAGGAGGAGGCGGAGGAGGAGGACCACTGTTAGCACAAGACGCATTACGATAGTGTCCTCATTCATCGGTCCTGGCAAGCATGTGTTTTCACTGAGGGAAGTGTCCCTTTGGAAGACAGCTGTTTGATGATCCTGAGCCGTGGCGAAACGCAACGCCTGGGACTTCAACGCCGCGAATCAACATGACTGTTGTGTTCTGACAACCCTGAATGGTGCCAAAACGCCGTTCTCGGGATCTCAACGCCACGAATCAATGTGACTTGTTCGCCCTGACAATCATAAGTCTTGCCAGAGCACCGTTCTTGGGATGCCAGACATACGAATCCTTGAATATGCTGTAATTTTTTAGGACGAATGTGCTCGGCGCTAATGCAAGAACCACCTGTTGAAAAAGAGCAGCCCTCCATTTTGGAAACTGCCGCAAACGTTTTAAAACGAATGCGGTGCTATGCTGAAAACGACCGGCCATCCATCGTTGCAAATGTTGCGAACATTTGAAACGAATGCGCGCGGAGCTAAGGCGAGTACAGCAGTTTGAAAACGACCCGACCTCCACCCTTGAAGTTGTTACAGCCTTGAAAAATGAATGCGCGAGGCGCTAGGGCGAAAACCACGTGTTGAAAAGGACCATTCCTCCATCGTTGAAGCTGCTTCCACTTTTGACATGCGAATGCACGCGGCGCTGCGGCGAGAGCCACATTTCGAAAAAGACCCGCCGTCCATCCTTGAGACTTCCTGCAAAGCTGAAAGACACATGTGCGCGGCACTTAGGCGGGAGCCACATTCTCACAACGGCCGCCCTACTGCAAATCTGGAGGGTTCAGGATGACAAGTGCTTGGGAGGTAGCAGGCGAGACGCCCTGCCAGCCCGACCAGCACGTCCCGGGGTGCGACAGGGAGGAGATACTCAGAAGAGAAACAATTGGAGGAGGAGGAGGAGGAGGAGGAGGAAGAGGAGGAGGAGAGGGGGCAAAGAGGAGGAAGAGGAGGAGGGGGGGCGAGGAGGAGGAGGAGGAAGAGGAGCGAGAACGCAGGGCAAACGAGAAAAGGGGGAGGAGGAGGAGGAGGAGGAGGAGGAGGAGGAGGAGGAGGACGACGAGTAGGTTGAGATGTTTCAATGTAGCCCGTTCGGATGCTTTGCAACCCGCGACACTTTGCTCAAGTGATTGTATCGGCCGTCAGGTGGTATGACATAGCTTCGTATTGTAACGTCGGCCGCTTCGTGCAACACAGAGCTCAATCTTCCATCCAATACCATCGATCTGGTCAGTTTACATAGTAGCGGAGCGAGGTGTTGGCAGCGAGAGCGGGTGCAGCAGCACCTACCACGCCACAACAACTGTTAGAGTACAACCTCCAACGATGGACTTAACTGTCATACCGCGTACAACCCAGTTGGCTACAAGTTTGTCAAAGTTGGCCTGCAGGCTAACCATGACGCGATTACGAACTACTTGGTGGAGCAAGATCGCACGGACCAACGCTTGCCTAGCGAGCGCGCGATGTCACCAATGAGCATGTCTGGAAATTCGAACGCAGCATTACTGAGCATCATAGATAGCGAGCGCCAGCACGACATGGAAAGCACGCAAGCGAAAGCGCGACTGGCCGAGTTGGACACACTGCCGGGGGCAATACGAGCACAAATGCGACCTGCGTCCAAATGACAGGAAACACGTGATCGAGTTCAAGCCAAAACATGAAAGGCCCGCAGGCAAATCAAAAGCGGTTCAAACCACAGCAGAGCTTCAACGGAGACCGGGCGCACTTTCGCGAGAGAATTGGCAGATAGTTCAACGCTTGGGCACAAGTCAGCCACGGGAGCCGTGAGGCTCTCAAGTGATTGAACAATGCGAAAGTGGAAACAGCGGACGGGGCTGCGCCAGATCCTGGCGAAGATGGTGCTGCAATACGAATGCGAAACGGAAGAATGACAGCCTCGGAACACATCGAGGCATCGCCCGGGGAGAGGAGGAAATGAGACAAACGCGATGATGATGATGATCTGGACGAGGGTGAGATCCACAAGCTGGAGGAGGACCCATGGGCCATCATGACGGCAGAACTAGAGAGAGAGAGAGAGAGAGCAGAGGCACAGGGCAAGTTACACGACCCCAAGGAAGGCGAAGGTGTCACTGCACACGCGCAGATTTACAAGTGGTGCTTCTGCTGCGACGGGAGTGATGTATCGGCCGGCAGGATCTCAACCATAAGAGCCCCGGCAGGCCGAAGCACATCATGAGCTCAAAATGGGCAGCGGAGCGCGCCCTCGCAGAGAAATTCGAAACATATATGCCAACTATTCCGAGCTGCGTTTACCCTCCTCCTCCTCCTCCTCTTCCTCCTCCTCCTCCTCCTCCCCCTTCTCCTCCTCCTCCTCCTCCTCCTCCTCCTCCTCCCGATGGTCGACTGGTCACGTTTCGATGGCTGGCGTCGGGTCCGTTTCGACCCACCCAGCCCCCTTAACAAGCGAGTCATGCCCCGAAGCTGCACGTGCGGCGCGGGTACCTGCGCTCGTTCAAGCACGACTGGACGCTGGCACGAAGAACAGCGATGCCATGGACATCCGGGGAGTCGGAACTCCTCCTCCTCCTCCTCCTCCTCCTCCTCCTCCTCCTCCTCCTGCGCCATGAAGCAGGAATTTGCCAGGGTTCAGGAGACAACCGGTGGCTCGTGGACGAAAGAGGGGCAAGCCAGACTGGAGCGACGGCCAGGGTCGGGGCGAGGGAGCTGCGGGCGCAGGCCATGGAGGTCTCCAGCCGGCGGCGACCCGGCGGGCCGCGTCGTCGGCTGCGGGCGGAGCTCCCCGCGCCGCAGCTTCGGGCAGGCACGAGCACCCACGCGTGGCGAGATCCGAGCCAACTCCGCACCCCGCCTGCTGCCCACTGCTCGGCCCCCTGCGACGGAGGCCGGGGGCTTCCAGAATCTTCGCCCGGACATTTCCAGGGGCGAGTCCAGCCACGGCGACGAGGGCGCCCTGGAGGGCCCCAAACGGCATCTGTTTCTCCTCCTCCTCCTCCTCCTCCTTCTCCCCCTCCTTCTCCTCCTCCTCCTCCTTCTCCTCCTCCTTCTCCTCCTCCCCCCCCTCCTTCCTTCCTCCTCTCTCCTCCCCTCCTCCTCCCTCCTCCTGCCTCCTCCTCCTCCGCCTCCTCCTCCTCCTCCTCCTCCTCCTCCTCCCCTCCTTCCATCCCCTCACTCCTCCTACTCCTCCTCCTCCTCCTCCTCCCCATCCTTCTCCTCCTCCTCCTGGGCCTCCTCCTCCTCCTCCTCCTCCTCCTCCTCCTCCTCCTCCTCCTCCCGTACTCCACCGTCCAGATGCCTGCAGAGGTCCCAGAGGGAAGTAGGTCCACATAAGCTTTCAGAGGTCCGGGTTGGACTCCGGAGGTGCACGAAGAGGCAAAGACGTCAAACAAGTTCGAATCTCGATCTTCGATCCGCCTTTCTTCATCCTCCTCCTCCTCCCCCTCCTCCTCCTCCTC